GCTTACCGTATCCAGCGGGAAGCAGGCGAAGGTGGCGATGACGCCGGCAACAGCTCCAGCAGATAGCCGCTCAACGTTATTGACGTCCGTCTTCTTAGACAGATCCAGGATCTTTTGACGGAAAATGTCGTACATGACGAAATTGATCGTCTTAAACGGCACGATGCGCAGCAGATTAACGCCGTTGCCCCTCCAGAACCCCATCATGCCCTCGCGCGCAAATATCCGCCGGGTTAACTCCGGCACGTGCGCTTGAGCGCCACACACCATGTACTCTAGCTTCAGACGCTCCAGAGGAGCCACCGCAGATCTGGACGGAGGAGACAAGGGAAAGAATTGGATTGGATGTGTTCAGAAACAGACGATAATCGAAGGGTTTGGCTCGGTTCGATTAAAAAATATTCGTGATTAATAATGGCACGCGCGCTTGAATGCTGCACACGTAGCTTACGCTGAGAGGGGGCCAAACCAGATCTGGACAAAAGAGAATAAGGTGACGGACGACGAAAAACTCCACGACAGACGCGAGAATCACCCCGCTTTCCCTCCCAGAATGAAAAACCGACATCTGATCCTGAAGAAGCCCGAACCGGAGGCCATGAATAAAGAAGATCTATGGCGAATCAGCTATTGCAATGACCACATGAGCCGACAAACACGAGCCAGAATAAACCACGACGATCCGACTCGAGCTCACCTGGCAACAACTGACGCCGTAGCTCCGGCGAAGATATGTTTGACGGTCTTCAACCCGCCGTCTTCCTGCAGCCGGCTCCACATCCCCGCGATGTTCTCCCGGCATTCCTTCTGCGCGTTCCCCCACGCCTCTCCCGCTCGTTGCGCAACCGCCTGGCTCTGCACCGCGACCCAATTCCGCGCCTTCCGCAACTCAACCTCGGGCTTCCATCTTCTGTTCGCAGTCTGTCGGATCTTCTCCTTCTCAGTCGTTTCCCCGACGGCCGGTCGTGCAACCGGCCATCTGTCAATTCTGACGTCGGATCTGGGCCGAGGTGGATCCAGCGGGACGACATCCATCCCCCAGCCGTCGACCACGTCGTCTAGAGGAAGAGGCGTGCGAAGCGGCATCGCCGCCGAGAAGCTCGCGTACTGCTTCCGCGCGTGAGGGGGAGTGACGCACGGCATGCGGAGAGAGTGGGGGTAGGTGCGTTGAAGATGGTGGAAGTCCTAAAACGCGTCGCCGAATTTCGAGATGAGGCTGGTCGGGCGAAAGATCGTAACAGATTTATTTTCCTCGAAATGCAGGAACGTTTTTATTCCTTAGGACTGATTCGATAGAAGGCAGTTGTCAAACGAGAGCAGGGAGTTGGTCCAACCCATCGTCAATGGACCTTGTCAAATCGGCAGATCAATTGGCGACCCAGGGAATCAAGCAGAAGCACGATCCAAAAACGGAAGTAAGGGATAACAACACGAGGCGCAAGCACGTCAGTCGAACGGAATGGCTTCTGAATGAGAAACGAAATGCTGGGAGGACTTCAGTAGGAGTGAAGTGAGTGATGGCGCAGTTGTGTTTGAATTGACGCGAAAGAGTGCAGGAGAGAGATTTTTGAATCGCAGAATGGTGTTGTGGTGGAAATGTTATGGTGGAAGGCATGATAGTTCTGGTGCGGTTGTGGTGTGGGGGCTGGTGGCGGGGCTGTAGTGGTCAGACAGTGTGTGGAGGGGCAGACCAGCAGTGAGAGGAGGGGAGGGGAGGAGACGCATGCTGGTCTGATTGGAAGGAGTGACTTGAAAATCGGTGGGGGACGTCGGTGGGAGTGTAGTGGGGGTGTGCGACGGTGGCGAAACGAGGCGTGTGCGAAGACGAAGGGTGCCCATAAACGAGCGAGTCAGATGCGACACTGTAGGGGGTATGGACGAACCTTTGCGACACATGACGCTGTCTCGATGTTACCGACAATGTACGCTTCGTGCAGGAGGACCCGTGAGAACGAGGGCATTGTTGGGGGAATGGAATGCTTGATTGATTTTTGTGGAATGAACGGTGGTGACCAGAACTAGACCAGCTCGGCCAACGAGAACCCGCGAAAGCTACAGACCAACTACGTCCAGCCAGGCAGGGGCGCTTTCTGGGGGTGGTCGAGCCAATGAGCGCCTTCGCGCGGAACGAGGAGCCAACCAGGCGAATCAAAAGAAGCGGCAGATTTGAGGACGAGCGGCAACCGCACGCAGGTCCCCCATACACAGGTTTCCCGCGATCCTGAATGGGACGCTTCCGCACGTACTGGTGCCACGCGAGACCGAACCACGTTCACAGGCTAGGGTGAAGCTGGAACTCCCAATCAGCGGTGAAGGAATCAACCAAGCTTCCCCATTCGGGCATCAAAACGTTTGCTGGACAAGCGAAATGCGGTGACAAAACCACCACACCGCACCCACCCAGCCTCGTGTGGTGTGTATCTTGCCTGCCCCGACATTGAACCAGCGCTGAGAATATTTGGGCTGAGCTGGCTGGACTTCCACGTGGCGTTTGTTCTTCCGTTGAAGCTGTGGTCGGGGAAGATGCTTATGGTCTGGCAGCGCGCGACTTTCAAATATCAAGTACACGAGCGCCAATGACTTGGCGGGCCTATGGTTTTGAACTAGCGCCATGTATAGTTGATTTTGAAAAAATCCAGGTTCAATTATGTGTCACATGAAGCGGACGAACACGCGCGTTACAAAAGGGCAAAGATATAGCGCATATAATTAACAACAGCTCAAGTATTTCCTTTGAATGAAATCATACAGTTTTGAATGATCATATTATTATCAACACATTCACAGCATGCCAGTGTACCCACTACTATGGATTTAACCAGCCCCACGTCTTCACAAACTGCCCCCTCAAAGCACATTTGTTACCATAATAGGAGACTACAGCAAAATGGCCACGAGGGTTGTTCATGAGCTTGTACGCTGGGGATAATGTGTAGCCAAAGCGAGTAAGGTAACGGCGCGTCCTAATTGCATGGTAGCTATAGGTCCGAACCTGGCGATTGATGGGGCCATTCAGGGTGTCATTCTTCCAGTTCATGATGAATGGCGGCACTCGCACCCCGTCAGCACCCTCTGGAGATGTGAAGCGTCTACCTATGTACACTCCGTACATCGGTATGTTGCCATTACTGAACATGTTGTTGGCCGTCACATAAGTCTTCACCACGTAAGATAATCCATCCCTGCAAAACAAATCCTTACAGTGAGATAACGTTTCAACCACCACAAATATGTCTGCGGATTGGAGTGAACTGAAAAGATAACACGAGCTCACATGTAAACGGAGATGCCAACTCGTCCGAATCCGAGGTTTAGGTCGGTACCTCCGAAGACATTGACTCCTGAAAGAATGGCTGTCGCCCTCTCTGTTTACATCATCAAGCATCACAAAAAATAAAGGAAACATGAGGCTTTGCGCATTCCATGAATACTTTCTAGAAAAACAAGGGCGAAGGGATGTGCTAGAACGCGCGGGGATGAAGTACGGAACGCGCGGGGATGAAGTACGGACCGCGCATACACATGTTTATTTGCTTTTGTTTTTGTGTTTTGTCTTTCCTCGTGATAAGTTGCGATCAGAGCGACTTACTGTAGAGCACTTTCGAGGAAGCCACGGATGCGAGAGTGCCTGTAATCAGGGGGACAGTCCGAAACGAGAGTTAGGGAACGACCAAGTGATCAAGATAACGAAGGGGCATGCGTGTGGAGGTTGCGAGAGGAGTCGAGAATGAAAATGGTGGAGATATTTTTTGCGTCCAGTAACGCAAAACAGCCAGTTGCGCCAGAGGTGCTCACATAGAAGAAGAAAGACAAAAATGACCCGATGCTTCTCCATCCTTTCGTGTCACTGATTTCGACCAGCAGCGAAGAGTAGTGGCTCATAATACTCTAAGCTAAGGGCTTCACGTCAACACAATCTGGTCAGTAGAAGGGGGGCTGATATAGTTATGTCTTCTCATTGGATCAGGGAGTGCCATTGAGTCAGACATTGGGGGCTCGGGTTGGGGGAGCACACGCATCTAGCCACTCAAAGTTGGCTGCATCTGCGTCCCCTGGCAGTGAACAGCGCCACTACAGTATTCAAAAGTAGGCTTGCCGCAACTAGCGGCTCGTAAGTAGGCCCGCCGCGAAGCGATCCGTACCATGAAGATCTGACATGGCCGTAAAAACAGAAATGATAATCTGAAGTTAAAACCCGCGTCTCATATTTTCTAGCGTATTACCTTTGGTTTGCTTGGAAGACAGGTGATTTGCTGGCGATGCACGAAGTGTTCTCTGACGAGGAAGAAAAAGTCACGCGAAACCTGCAAAGAGCCAGACCAGAAGCGAACCAGGCACAAAGGCTCGGGATGCACCAAAGCCAACACAAACGGTTTGAGTGTCGCACGAAACCAGGAAACCAAGCGACAAGAACAGTGACGCAGGGGTTGATGTCTTCGACCCTGGTACTTTGTACAGAGCTGTAAGAAATCAGTCATATAAGTAAAGCGTTGAAAGTTCAGTGTCGACCTGCAAGTTGCAAGTACCAGTAGAGTGTATGTTCAAGCATCACAATAGCATTCACTTCAGGTTGGTCAACTTTACATAGCTATTACGGTTACTTTATAAGCATGTTTCACTGCATGCAGCCATTCACAAGGGTGTACACGACAGTATATAAACGGAAACTAGAATCCGTGCTACGATTTTTAGTGCCGTCCGACAAAAAAGAACCAGCAATCGTATATGGCGGCCTACAACGCATGTGCTCCGGTGGTCAGCAAGATGCTCACGCCCCCCCACTTCATCATATCTGCCCAGGGTTCGCCTGTTGCACCATCACGTTGCTTCGATGTGCCCGTGCCTACTGCTGCTGCTGCTGGACATACAAGAAGAATGTGAGGGCCAAAACTGCAGGAGGAACAGAGGGTTGAGGGTGCAGGGCATAGGCGAGCAGAACGGAGGAGTTTGACATGACTTGCCTTGTCCTTTCCTGTCTCGGCTCGTCCGTCCAACTCTGCTCATGGGAAGATGGGAGAGGGGCTCATGGGAAGGGAAAGGGGGACGCGGAAAAGGGAAAGGGCTATGGGATAAGGAAGAGGGGTATGAGGTAAGGAAGAGGGGTATGGGGGAAGGGGGTATGGGGGATGGGGCGGATGCTGGGAAGGGGGATGAGGGAAAGGGAAAGGGGGATGCTGGGAAGGGGGATGGGGGAAAGGGAACGGGGGATGCTGGGAAGGGGGATGGGGGAAAGGGAACGGGGGATGCTGGGAAGGGGGATGGGGGAAAGGGAAAGGGGGATGCTGGGTAGGGGGATGGGGGAAAGGGAAAGGGGGATGCTGGGTAGGGGGATGGGGGAAAGGGAAAGGGGGATGCTGGGTAGGGGGATGGGGGAAAGGGGGATGCTGGGAAGGGGGATGGGGGAAAGGGAACGGGGGATGCTGGGAAGGGGGATGGGGGAAAGGGAAAGGGGTATGCTGGGTAGGGGGATGGGGGAAAGGGAAAGGGGGATGCTGGGTAGGGGGATGGGGGAAAGGGAAAGGGGGATGCTGGGTAGGGGGATGGGGGAAAGGGGGATGCTGGGAAGGGGGATGGGGGAAAGGGAACGGGGGATGCTGGGAAGGGGGATGGGGGAAAGGGAACGGGGGATGCTGGGAAGGGGGATGGGGGAAAGGGAAAGGGGTATGCTGGGTAGGGGGATGGGGGAAAGGGAAAGGGGGATGCTGGGTAGGGGGATGGGGGAAAGGGAAAGGGGGATGCTGGGTAGGGGGATGGGGGAAAGGGGGATGCTGGGAAGGGGGATGGGGGAAAGGGAACGGGGGATGCTGGGAAGGGGGATGGGGGAAAGGGAACGGGGGATGCTGGGAAGGGGGATGGGGGAAAGGGAAAGGGGGATGCTGGGTAGGGGGATGGGGGAAAGGGAAAGGGGGATGCTGGGTAGGGGGATGGGGGAAAGGGAAAGGGGGATGCTGGGTAGGGGGATGGGGGAAAGGGAAAGGGGGATGCTGGGTAGGGGGATGAGGGAAAGGGAAAGGGGGATGCTGGGTAGGGGGATGGGGGAAAGGGAAAGGGGGATGCTGGGTAGGGGGATGGGGGAAAGGGAAAGGGGGATGCTGGGTAGGGGGATGGGGGAAAGGGAAAGGGGGATGCTGGGTAGGGGGATGGGGGAAAGGGAAAGGGGGATGCTGGGTAGGGGGATGGGGGAAAGGGAAAGGGGGATACAGGGTGTGCCTTCCCGTCCCTTCTACTCTCGATGCCTCTCCTCTCGTCCCCTCCCGTCCCGTCCCCTCCTCTCTCGTCGCGTCCCCTCCACTTTCGTCGCGTCGCATCCTCTCTCGTCGCGTCCCCTCCTCTTTCGTCGCGGCGCCTCCTCTCGCGTCGCTTCCCCTCCTCTCTCGCCGTGTCCCCAACTCTCTCGTCGCGTCCCCTTCTCTCTCGTCGCGTCCCCTTCTCTCTCGTCGCGTACCCTCCCGTCCCTTCCGGTCTCGGCGCGAATCCTCCCGTCCGCGACGGCGACGGCGCTGGCGCTCGCCTTGCTGCCTTCCTCTCCGCTGCCTCTCCGCTACCGCTTCCGCCGATGTCTCTCCCTCTCAGCTTCCGCCGATGCCTCTCCCTCTCAGCTTCCGCCGATGCCTCTCCCTCGTCGCTTCCGCCGATGTCGCTCCGCTACCGCTTCAACTATCTTTATGCTCGCCTAACCTCCCTTCCATCCTTTAGCCCCTACCTTCCTTTCCATCACCCTTCCAATCCCCTCGCGTCCCTTTCCGTCCGGTCACGTCTTGCCGTATTCCTCCTTCCTCTTTTATCGTCCCGTTTTGTGCATCGTCGCGTCCCTTCCCCTTCCGTCGCGTCCCTTCCCGTCCCATTGCGTCCTTTCCGTATCGTACCTTCCGTCATTTCACGTCTGTTGACGCGCGTGCCGATATGCTTTTACACGAATTGCGTGAAATTTTGTACAAAATAGTACGGAACAGCCGTGGACAGACTCTACCCACAACTAAGTTGTTGATCTGACTGTAGGGCTGGAATGGAATGGAAAGTGGTTGCTCAACTGTCTCATTATTTCTGCGGTGGTATTACGCTTGGTTCCCTGTGTGCTCTGCCTTCGTCGCACTTGGTGGTGTGTTTCGCACGAAAGCAGTTCGGTAGTCGTGCATCTGCCCTGCCCAGCCTGTTGGGGCTGCAGCCAATCGTAAGTGCTCCCAACCAAACCCAACAAAGTCGCGACTGCTTGACTGGTTACCCGGTTTCAAGCGTATTACACTTGGTTGGGAGTTGTGAAATATGAGACGCGGGCTTTAATACGGAGTGGAGACTCATTCAGGTGGCTCTTGCCCTGAGGGGATCGAGAAATGTTAGCAAAGTACACTTGAAGGCGTTTCGTAACTTAACAGTGGTTTGAATGAATGTGTAAGGGACCGCCCCATTTGCAGTCGAGAGGGCCGTGGCAGTTACATCACGATGTTGGTCGGTGGTCGAGGCGCGTCGTAACGGATGCTCGCGAACAACTTAGCGAAAACCGCCTCTACAATCTCTGCGATTGTTCGTGCACCTTATAGAACCACTTGACTAAACATACTATCCTCCCTACAGACAGCCTCAATTCGACAGCAAGTAGTAAGCGACAGTGATGTACTATACATGCACACCACCAAATGTTGGGTACACGGATCATGCCAAACAATGGCAAGCAGATTGAATCAACTTGCAATTCAAAACTGCTATATTTTTTTAGCAGAAAAACGAAATCTCATGTGTGGCATGGGGAAGGCGGACATTAGCAAGGTTTACATATTGTTGGGAACAATAAGTCTTAAGCGCCTCTGTCGTGTCGAAACTCAGGACACAAAGCGAAACAGTTCAAATCGAAGCATCGCGAGTCAACCCTCGGAGGTTAGGGTAACCGCCTGGAGGTTACCCGAAGGTCAAAGGTCAGCGAACTTTGACTTGACAAATACAGCGCGACAGCAAGGACACACAACTGACTCGACATTGAGCAGTTGCCCGAGTCGCACTGTATCGAATCGCAACAGCAAAGTAGTTTAATTATATCTATTCGTATTCCTTGTACTCTTATATAAAGCTTTGTATTTGCTTGTTTTAATAAACTTACTTTGCCCTCACATACCAGCGCAAGGTGGTTCAATGACTTTTCATTCAACGCTTCCGCTATTACAATCTTACTCAGACTTAAACTCTACAAAGATCCTAGGGCACCTCAGCCCAACATGGTATGAGAGCAGTTAGAGTTTAAAAGTTATTTTCCTTCAACACTCATACAAGAAGACATGTCTACTAGCAAGGAGAGGAGCTCCTCTAACGGTTCCCCAGGTACTACTCCTACTCCACCTCCTGCCTCTGGCCAACAGACAGAGGAAGGGACTACCACGAGACCAGCAGCTGGGTCCACGGAAACGCCCGCAGGCTTCGATCCAAGCATGATGGAGAAATTCTTCTCCTTCATGTCCTTCTACGAGCAGCACCAGCAAGGAGTACCTGCGCAGTCAAACAACAGCAACAACAACAACGTGACTCCTATGAGTCTCGACGGCTCATCCTACGCACGCGGAATTCAACAACAACAACAGCAGCCTACTTTTGTGCCGTACGAGCCCCAGCGTGGCTCCGTCAGCTTCATGCCGCAACCCCAATCTGCACCGGGACAAGAAAGAGGACTGGACGCGTTACAAGTTCAATCGCAATTCGCGCATGTCCTAAAGCTGCAAACGACAAAGCCTTTCGACGGAAAAGACTTCTTCACCTGGTCAGTCGAGTTCGAGCTAATGATGGAAGGAGCACAGATTCTCGGTTTCTTCGACGAGTCCCTGCCATATCCAACAAACAGGACGCAATATGAGAAGAAGCAGTACACCTATCAATCAATGATGGCGTACACGATACTGCTAAGAAACATCACCCCGACCCAACAGCAGAACATCAGAACTTACCGAGGCTACGGCAACTCCGCGGAGCTCGCGTACAACCACCTGAAGAACCTGTATTAAGCAACAGACAGTGTAAATCAAACAGGTTAATAGCGCAGCTGACAACGATTGAAATGAAACCAGGCGAAAAGGGCATGGCTTATATCAGCCGCTGCCGCGAACTGCGCGACAAGCTTCTTCGATGCGGAGGGTCGATTTCAGAAGACGCCTTTGTCACGGTGGTCATCGGCGGTCTCAGCCCCCACTGGCGCTCCACTCGCGCCATATAACGAGCACATGGGAGGATCTCCGAAGCGGCACTCTGCGCCGAAATCCACGCCGAGCAGCAGGACATGGACCTGCAAGAAGAAAGACACAGGAAGAAAACATTAGCATCGGAGTTTGCGTTTCACACTCAGCGACGATACAACGGCAACAACAATCGACAACAGCAACAAATGAAGACGGTACCTCCGTTTTGCCACATCTGCAAAACTTCGGGTCATCCTCGCACGCACTGTCCGTCTCGTCAGCAGTCGACGACACCACAGCGACAACTCCGGCCTTCAAACTCCCAAGTTGCTTCAACGCAAGCAAATCCGACGACCACAATCCAAGCTTCAACGACTTCAACTGGACAACCTGCACAAGCAAGAAACATTGTCAATTGCATGGTGAAGATAACCGATTCGTGCACAACCGAATCACCACCTCACTATTCACCGGAAGAAGAGCTCGACAACAGGACGCCTCGCCGCGAGTCACTCCAGCCGAATCCGACGTACGCCGCCATCGCTCAAAGCGAACCGTCCGGCCAAGACACTTGGTTCTTGGACAGTTGCTGCGGACAACATATGTGCTCCTCCGGACGCTTCGTTCAACGCGAACATCGACTACAGCGAGAAGTAGTCATCACGGTCGCCAACAATCAAAACCTGCGCACACGACGACAAGGAGTGGTTCAACTTCAGTCAAGAGAGACAAACGTCATACTACACATGTCAAAGGTACTTATCGCAGAAGGACTTGGCTATAACTTACTGAGTGTTAGCCAGTTGATGGCGAAAGGCATCCACTTGGAAGCCGACAGCACCACCCAGGAGTTTAAGTTATACCACGGGAAGGGCGGCCTCTACATCGGAAGGGCGGTGTTGAAGAACAACGTCTTCGTTCTCGACTTCGTCCCCGACCTAAGCACTGCAGATAGCGACGCCATCGTCAAATTCGCCGATTGGACACATCCCCCGGATCTCGATCCCGACTTCAGCCCGGGAGGTTTCCTGGTACTCGCACACCATCCCTGAAGCAGAACGAACACGAGCGTTAGCAACGATTCAACAAACGGCAGCAGCAGAGACAACATCGGCAGCAGCAGAGACAATATCGGCAGCAGCAGAGACAACATCCGCAGCAGCAGAAACATCATCGGCAGTATCAGGACCAACGACACCAGTCGTCATCGACGAAGCACCACCAACACCCGCACAGCAGTTGAACCCGACTCAACGAGAAGTCCACAGAAGCGCCAATTTCGTCGCCAGCTTCTACTCCAACTCCGACGCGTATCAACGCTCACCCGGACACCGCGCTCCTGAAGACATCTGGCACGCACGCACAGGACATCCAAGCAATACGGTGTTAAATAACACAATACGAGCAGGAGTCCTAGACAAGGATTCACTACTACTACCTGACGGCAGAGAACTTCAACGGGCACGAGGGACTTGCCTCATCTGCCCCGAAGCCGACTTACCCCACCGACCGTTTTCTTCTCACCACAACCCGAGCGCACCTGCATACGCACCACTCGAAAAAGTATACAGCGACATCCTCTTCAATCGAGAACCAGGACAAGTCACCTACAATTACACGATCACCTTCATCGACGCCGCCACTCGATACGTCTGGCATCGAAACCTACCCAGCCGCGACATGGCACTCGCAGCGTTCGCCGCTTGGCTACCGATAGCAGAGAGGGAATCAGGAACGCAGCTGAAAAGCTTGCAGTCAGACGGAGGAGGAGAATACACCTCCCAGCGCTTCAAGCAGTACCTGGCGGAAAGGGGAATCAAGCAACTTCTCTCCCTTCCCTACGCACATCAGCAGCAAGGTGTTGCAGAAAGAATGAACAGGACTCTGCAGAACAGCATGCGCAAACTGCTACGTGGCATGCGGCTACCCAACCACCAGTGGCCTGCAGCAATGGACCATGCTGTCATACTGCACAACTTGCTGTCGTCGTCGTCACTCCCGAACAACGCATCACCGCATCTGCTGTGGACAGGGAAGCAGGGCAGCACAAAAATGTTACGAGTTTTCGGATGCATGGTACAGTACCGACCTCCAGAACACGAGCGGGAAGATTTTCGCAACGGGCACAGTGGGGACTACACATCGGCATCGAAAAAAATTACAACGCGTGGAAAATCTTCGACGTCCACACAAAGGAAACAGTAGCAGCACGTGATGTGATCTTCTACGAACGACTCACCCTTCAAACGTACCTCGCCAACTTGCACGAGAATCAGGATCCCACAGGTGGCTTTCGTGATGACCGAGCCTTCGCCTCAGCAGCGGACGAAGCAGACTGGGATGAACAGAACGTCGACAACGCATCGGAAGAAGCCGGACCTCTCCCGTTCTGTTCCGTCAACGTGCCCATGGACGAAGAAAATCCTCGCGACAGTGTCAACGCCGAAGTTTTCTATCACTTCGCCGACAACGGTTACGTAACACCTGCGACAGTCAACACAAACGAAGCAGAAAGGATAGGGCCGAATTTCATACCCGACCCAGAAGCGGGAGACGAAGAAGCTTATCCCGAGGATCCAACACTCCCCTGATACTCATAGACTGGACTGCAAATCCTTGGCCTCGTCACCGCAGTCCACGGAAACGCTCTTCCTAAAAATCCTGCGACGGTTCAGCAGGCTCTGGGGGGGGAACACAGGGAGAAATGGCGTGAAGCCATGGACAGGGAATTAAAAGCATTGGAGGAACGCAACACCTGGAAGGTCGTTCCCGCAAGCGTGGCAAGGAACAAGACCATTCTCACCGGGAAATGGGTCTTCCGCATCAAAACGAAAGCAGACGGCACAATCGAGAAGTTCAAAGCACGCTGGGTCGTGCGTGGATTCGACCGAGAGCAAGGACGAGACTTCACCGAGACATTCGCCCCAGTTAGTCGACATACCTCTCTTCGAATTCTTCTCGCCGTTGCCGCCATGAAGAAGAAGAAGCTGCGACAAATCGATGTCGCCAACGCATTCCTCTACACACCCGTCGACGCCGAAATCTTCGTCGAACTCCCCCACGGTACCCACGGAAACCCCAATCAGGTCTGCCAGCTACTGAAATCGCTCTACGGAATCAAACAAGCTCCGCGGCTGTGGCAACAGCACCTACACACCCGCCTCACTCGCATCGGATTCCGCCAACTACCTCACGACCAAGGGATGTACCGACTCACCAAAGACGCAGACTATATCCTGCTGATCGTCTATGTCGACGACTTGCTCTACATCGGCTCCACCGACGACGTCACCACCTGGTTCGAAGGGGAGCTGCAGAAAGATCTCACGCTCACGGTTTCTTCTACCGTCACCCAGTACCTCGGGCTCAACATCCGCGAAGAAGAAAATGCGATCTACCTAAGCGCCGAGAAATACGCCGACACTATCGCCAAGCGTTTCTCGCTCACACCTACCACTATCGCCACGCCATACCGCTACACGGCAGGAAGTGACAAAGGAAATTCTACTCCACTTAAAACTGCCGGAATACGCGACTACCAGAGGAAACTGGGCTGCCTCCTCTTCGCAGCCGTCACCTGCCGCCCTGTCCTACTCCGCAAGCCAACTCGCTACCTACCTCAAGAAACCTGAAGCAGAGCACCTGGCGGAGCTCGATCGCGCACTACACTACTTCGTGAGCACACCAACGATCGGCCTGACTTACTACAAGAGCGAAGCTGCGACGCCGAAACTAATCGGCTACGTCGATGCCGACCATGCCGGCGATTCAGATAACAGGCGCTCTCGCACTGGCTACGTCTATCGTCTCGAGCCTATCGGACCTATCTCCTGGCAGTCGAGTAAGCAGGAACTAATCGCTCTATCCTCAGCTGAAGCAGAATATATCGCTCTCTGCTCAGCCACCAAGGAAGGACTCTACCTTCGCGAGCTGCTGGAAGAAGCAAAGTTAGCTGAGTTACCCAACTTCACCCTGTTCTGCGACAACCAATCTGCAATTCGCATCGCCAACAAAAGCGGATTCGCGAACAGAACGAAGCATATCGCTCTGCGATACTTCTTCGTGAAAGACGAGATCGAGAAAGGGAAACTCGAATTATCCTACTGTCCCACGTCCGAGATGGCAGCCGACTACTTGACCAAGAAGCTCGGAAAACAGAAGTTCGAGTACTGCATGCTGCTGACTGGACAAGGCCACGTCACCATCAGCGACACTCCAGAAGCGAAGGGGAGTGTTGGGAACAATAAGTCTTAAGCGCCTCTGTCGTGTCGAAACTCAGGACACAAAGCGAAACAGTTCAAATCGAAGCATCGCGAGTCAACCCTCGGAGGTTAGGGTAACCGCCCGGAGGTTACGCGAAGGTCAAAGGTCAGCGACCTTTGACTTTACAAATACAGCGCGACAGCAAGGACACACAACTGACTCGACATTGAGCAGTTGCCCGAGTCGCACTGTATCGAATCGCAACAGCAAAGTAGTTTAATTATATCTATTCGTATTCCTTGTACTCTTATATAAAGCTTTGTATTTGCTTGTTTTAATAAACTTACTTTGCCCTCACATACCAGCGCAAGGTGGTTCAAGGACTTTTCATTCAACGCTTCCGCTATTACAATCTTACTCAGACTTAAACTCTACAAAGATCCTAGGGCACCTCAGCCCAACACATATCAGGTATGCAACCTCCTAAAGCTCAAGACCGTACTACAACACTTAACTAATAATTTATTCCCAGCATGACAAAGGTATTATTAACCCACTCCAGCTACTCCACTTTCAACGCCCTTTCTTCCTCTGCGGGAGGCCTATCCTCACCACCCTCCCCACTGCTGACCACAGCAGCAAGAGCCTCAGGAGTCTCCTCCTGCATGGGCAAGAGGACTGGTTGGGCCTTGGAACCTAGCGCACTGAGAGGCTGCATCTTAGGGCCGTTCAGCATGAGGGCAGTGCATGCAATGATGTGCATGCCCACAATCAGGCAGCACTGGTACGCAATAGCCTGGGGCACCTGTAATATTACGTGGACACAAGGGAGGGAGGTATTGGAGGAAGATACGGAAATGAAATGGAGAGAAAGTGTAGTGCTGAAGGAATGTGGATTCGCAAGGTGAATTTTGAGACGTCTCTCCAAAGAAAGAACGTTCACCACCAGTAAACGCATACACTACTAGCAGAAACTTAATACAAGCAGCACAGCACAACTCTTTACAATCAGCAGCACTCACAGTGTAGTTATCAATGGAGAGGTTCTTGAGGATCTGATCCCGTTTGAAGTGACTTCCAAAAAGCACGCGCGTTACAAGCACAACCATTTGAAGCACACTCACCGTGTAGTTATCAATGGAGAGGTTCTTAAGGATCTGATCCCCATCGGGGCAGCCGGGAGAGCAGCTAAAGGTCAGCCCTGACATGGGTGGAGGACGGGAGGAAAAGAGTCCGGAAGGTAGGAGCACGGAGGTGAGATGCACGGAGTAAGAGGAATGAAGGAAAGAAGCAGGAAGGAAGGGAAGAGGTAGGAGGAGCTATGGAGCCCCAAGTAGGAGCCATGGCTCGCGTGGCAGCGGCTGCTTTTAGCAAACAGTTGCTTAGGTAAGTTTATGCCAGAAGCAGGAAGGGAAGAGGGAGGAGGAGTTACATGCAGAAACAAGGGGGGGGGCAGGACAAATGACTTTTGAGACGACTTTTGACGGGGGTGGGGGCAGGACAAATGACTTTGGAGTCGACTTTTGACGGGGGTAGGGGCAGTACAAATGACTTTTGAGTCGACTTTTGACGGGGGTGGGGGCAGGACAAATGACTTTTGAGACGACTTTTGACGGGGGTGGGGGCAGGACAAATGACTTTTTGAGTCGACTTTTGACGGGGGTAGGGACAGGACAAATGGCTTTTGAGTCGACTTTTGACGGGGGTAGGGGCAGTACAAATGACTTTTGAGTCGACTTTTGACGGGGATGGGGGCAGGACAAATGACTTTTGAGACGACTTTTGACGGGGGTGGGGGCAGGACAAATGACTTTTTGAGTCGACTTTTGACGGGGGTAGGGACAGGACAAATGGCTTTTGAGTCGACTTTTGATGGGGGTGGGGGCAGGACAAATGAATTTTGAGTCGACTTTTGACGGGGGTGGGGGCAGGACAAATGACTGTTGAGTCGACTCAAAAGTCACCAGAGTTACATGCAGAAACGGGGAGGGGGGGGGGGGGGGGGGGGCAGGACAAATGACTGTTGAGTCGACTCAAAAGTCACCAGAGTTACATGCAGAAACGGGGAGGGGGGGGGGGGGGGGGGGGCAGGACAAATGACTGTTGAGTCGACTTTTGACGGGGGTGGGGGCAGGACAAATGACTTTTGATTCGACATTTGACGGGGGTGGGGGCAGGACAAATGACTGTTGAGTCGACTCAAAAGTCACCAGAGTTACATGCAGAAACGGGGAGGGGGGGGGGGGGGGGGGCAGGACAAATTGGGGCAGGAAGAAGACGGGCAGGAAGAAAAGAGGCATGGAGGAAAGCAAAGGTTGTGAGGAGGAGATCCAGAAGCAGATTCCGGTGACTCAGCACCAGAGCTCTATTTCTGAGATGTCAACCCACCCCACCCCACCCCACCCCACCCCACCCCACCCCACCTCATTCCACCTCATTCCACCTCATTCCACCTCATTCCACCTCATTCCACCTCATTCCAGTGAGAAGAGTGTGACTCACCCAAGAAGTGGTTAACGGCAAGGCCGGCGAATCCCCACTGGATGGGGGGAATTTAGTGCACCAAGCGGATTCACACGGGAATGGAGTCGAGATTCACGTAGTGACCCACCGCACCTCAACCTACTGCACCGCACCCCACCCCACCACATTCAAGCTTATCCCAGTGAAACAGAGTGTCACTCACCCTCGAACTGGTTGACAGCCAGGCCGACAAAGCCCCACTGGATGGGCGAGAGGTAGAGCACCCAGCCAGCGGATCCACACGGGGATGGAGTCCCACCCATCCCACTGCATCCCACCGTATCCCACCGCACCCAATCCATTTCCAGTCAGAAAACGACTCACCCTCGAACTGGTTGACAGCCAGGCCGACAAAGCCCCACTGGATGGGCGAGAGGTAGCGCACCCAGCCAGCGGATCCACACGGGGATGGAGTCGAGATGGCTTACCCACAGGTGGCCCAGAGCCACCGCACTCCACACATTCCCAATACCCAGCCCACCTGATTCAACCCCATCCCCAACCCACTCACCTTCAAACTGGTTGACTGCCAGACCCACAAAGCCCCACTGGATGGGCGAGAGGTAGCGCACCCAGCGGATCCACACGGGGATGGAGTCGAGATTGACGTAGAAGCCCCCAAAGAGCATCAGCACGACTGTGAAGAGCGGACCCATGGCTAATGCGAGCTGAGGGGTCGGAGCGATTGATCCGATCTGCAAATAAGTGGGGGGGAAGAGGGTATGTGAGGGGATTGAGATTCACATAGAAGCCCCCAAACAGCACGAGCACGACTGTGAAGAGCGGACCCATGGCCAGGGCCAGCTGAGGGGTCGGCGCGATTGAGCCGATCTGCAGTTAGGTGGGAAGAAAGAGGGCATGTTAAAGGATTGAGGGGAATGGGAGGCAAAGAGCACCGGGGCCGGTGCGGAGCGGATGATAGGCCAGTCCGTTAGAGCTGGGTTGGTTGCCTTATGAGTCGAATGCTTAAAGAAAAAAAAACACAGAAGTGAAATTTATTGCCATAACTTGGTTAGCGTTTTGAGTTGGTTGCCACAAACCTTTAACTCTACCATGCATCCACGGTCCACCTCCTCTCAAACATGGTTACCCCTTTGGCCCCGATCCCCAACGCACCAGGATACCAAGCCCGTTCATGGCTGTAAACTCCAGCATGCAGATGACGAGGAAGAGGAAGAACTTGGATGCCACGCGCTGGTACTGAATGGGCCAGTAGGCGATGATGCCAAACACGATCACCGGACCGATGCGGATGGGCCACTCCGAGAGGACTTTCGCGGGGTAGTACGCGGTCACTCGGTACGTGTTGGACGCGCGCTCGCGGTTCACCACTCCTTTCTCCAGGGGGAATGTGGTAATCATCTGGAGGGATGGGGATGGGGATGGGGAATGAAAGAGGAGAGTGAGCCGCTCGGAGAGCACCTTTGAGAATTCTCAAAAGTGATTTTGATATAAGAGGAGAGTGAGCCGCTCGGAGAGCACCTTGGCGGGATTGTACACGGTCAAGCGGTACGTGTTGGACGCGCGCACTCGCGGTTCACCGCTCCCTTTTCCAATGGGAAAGTGGTGATCATCTGGCGGGATGGGGATGGGGATGGGTGGGGGGGGGGGGTGGGGAGAGAGAGAAGGGAGGGTTGGGCAAGGGGGTAGCGGGAATGGTAGGGCAGGGGGAGCAGGAGACGAGCGCTCGCGATTCACCATTCCCTTCTCCAGCAGAAAGGTGGTGATCATCTGGAAGGATGGGGATTGAGGGAGAAACGGGGAGATCGGGAGAGAGGAGAGGGTTGGAAAGGGAGAGTGGAGAAGAGGATGGGGGTAGCGCACCCCCCTAACCACCCGTGGTTAGGGGGGTGGGGGGCGTCAGTCACATGGGCATTGGATATAAGGGATTGTATGCGGTAATGCGGTAACTGTTGGACGAGCGCTTGCGATTTACCACCCTTTTTTCAAGTAGATCAGTGGTGATCATGTGGAGGCGAGGGATGGGAATGGTTGGTTGGTTGGTTGGTTGGTTGGGGGTCCTTTTTGAGCCGACTCAAAAAGCTGCTGAAGGCTCTCACTCAAGTTGGGATGGAATAGAGAGGCCGCTTTGCTAGAGAGAGAACCGGTTCAAAGCTGCAGCAGGACATTCCATTCCAACTCCCATATGCTTTGCTGCAGCTCCCATGCTTCCCCCGCTCTCAATCCAAAATATATCGACTCTTTCCCCCACCCCCCTTTCCCCTCCGCACCCTTCCTCACCCCTCAAGAAAAAACCATGCAGAAATCACCTAGAAGATTCCGTTGAAGGGGAGGAGAGGAAGAAGGAGATGAAGAGGAGCAATCCTGTCGTGCTCTGCTGCGACCCAAGACAAGGAAGAGGAGCAATCCCGTCGTGCTCTGCTGCGGGCTCTTTCAGTCGACCCAAGAAGCTGTTGACGGCTGTCACTTCAGTTGGCTATCTAAAAGGCACAGAAGCACTCACCGTACCATCCAGCAAGTCACCTGGAAGATGCCGTTGAATGCGAGGAAGAGGGGGATGAAGAAGAGCGAGCCCATCATGTTCTGGTGGGGATCATCACCATCATCACCGTCATCACCGTCATCACCATCATCACCGTCATCACCATCATCGACTTTTGAGCCGACTCAAGAAGCTGCTGGGGGCTCTCACGTGAGTTGGCCATCCACAAGACAAGTCAGTGACAGAAGAACTCACTTAACCAGGTTCACCGTACCATCCTTTTCAGGCGCCTCAAAAAACGGTTCACCGTACCATCCTTTTCAGGCGCCTCAAAAAACGGTTCGCCGTACCATCCTTTTCAGGCGCCTCAAAAAACGGTTCACCGTACCATCCTTTTCAGGCGCCTCAAAAAACGGTTCACCGTACCATCCTTTTCAGGCGCCTCAAAAAAAGGTTCACCGTACCATCCTTTTCAGGCGCCTCAAAAAACGGTTCACCGTACGTACCATCCTTTTCAGGCGCCTCAAAAAAAGGTTCACCGTACCATCCTTTTCAGGCGCCTCAAAAAACGGTTCACCGTACCATCCTTTTCAGGCGCCTCAAAAAAAGGTTCACCGTACCATCCTTTTCAGGCGCCTCAAAAAAAGGTTCACCGTACCATCCAATCCCACAAGTCACCTGGAAGGCCCCTCACCTGGAAGACCCCTCACCTGGAAGACCCCTCACCTGGAAGATGCCGTTGAAGGCGAGGAAGAGGGAGATGAAGAAGAGCGAGCCTGTCATGTTCTGCTGGGGGGCGGCGCTCGTGTTGGAGTAGAGAATGCATATCATCACCATCATCACCATGGCCTGCACGTACGCGATCGCGATCGGGAGCCGATCCCTCGTCACCTGCCACCAGGACCACGTGGTAGAGAAGAGGATAAAAGGTACAGGATTGAAAGTGGAGGATTGAAAGTAGAGAATGCAGATCATCACCATCACCACCATCATCACAATCATCACCATCGCCTGTACATAAGCAATCACAATCGGCAGCCGGTCCCGCGTCACCTGCAAGCAACCAATGTTAATAATATTAGGATTTTTTTTTTTTCAAAACTGATATTCACGTACCCAATTGTGCGATTGCGGTCGGCAGCTTATCCCGCTTATCCTTCCTCACCTGCAGCCACGACCGCTTCGTCAGCACCGCCAGCTGCGGCCCCCAGCTGGACGCATACTTGGAATACTTCACCCCCTTTGTGACAGAAGTAGCGTGTTAAGACAGAAGTAGCGTGTTAAGACATCTCCAAGCCCACCTCTCCTTCCTCACCTGCAGCCACGACCGCTTCGTCAGCACCGCCAGCTGCGTCCCCCAGCTGGACGCATACTTGGAATACTTCATCCCCTCCGTAGCCTCCGCCTGCTCCTCCATGCTCTTCTGGTGCAGGTCCGGCCGAACCTCCCGCGCAGGCTCGTAGCTGGAGGTGAGCTCCGCGATGCGCGCAGTGCTGTCGGTCTCCCGCTGCTCGTCGCGGCGGTCGACGGAAATCATGTCCATAAAGTAGTCGGCCGGGTTGAAATGCTCCGGGCAGGTGAAGCCATGGCGGGAAAAATAATCGATGGAGTCGACGGCCTGCCCGAAAAAAACCATGCGGCCTTCGCTCAGCAGCAGCAGGTTCTCAAACTGCAAAGGGGGAAGGGGGGAGAGAGGGTGGTAAGGGGTGGAGAGGAGGAACAGAGGAAGGATAAGGGGGGTAGCAGAGGGGGTGAGAGAACAGGGTGGGGCGGGGTGTTGGGGAGAGGGTGGTGAGATGAGAAGGGGGGAGGGGTGTACTTCGAGATAAATCGTATCAGATGACACCCAAACTGCACAGGGGGGAGGAGAGGGGGAGAAAGTAGGATGATAGATGGAGGGATGGAGAAAATAAAGCTTAAGGAACTGAAGGGATCAGTGAATGTGGTCAACTAGTTGCTCCTGAAAAGAATTTGATAGGGGATGCATGCAGCGATGCGCCCAATCACTCACAACGGTGAAAACCAGAGAATCTCGTCGTGTGGATGATGGATGGTGGGTGATGAGATGGAGGGTGGGTGGGTGGATGGTGGATAGTGGATGTCGGATGGAGGAGCGTGGATGATGGATGGTGGATGGTGGATAAGCGATGACGGTGCATGCACAGCCTAGGAACAACAACTCTAAGCCCATCCTAAGAGCCCCACGCCACTCACGAGGGCAAAGATGGAGGAGCGCGGCTGGTGGACGGTGGAGATGAGATGACGGTGCATGCACGAACGGCCTAGAAACACCCCCCTAAAATGCACCCCTAAGCCCACCCTTAGAGGTCCAATCGACTCACGAGGGCGAAGATGGAGGAGCGCGGCTGGTGGATGGTGGAGATGACGGTGCGGCCGCTCTTGGAGAGATCAGAGAGGGCGCTCATCACGTTCAGCGCCTGGAAGCTGTCCAGGCCAGATGTGGGCTCGTCTGGTGTGGGGGGGAAGAGGAGGGGTGGGGGATGGATGGAGGAGAGGGAGGCAGGGAGAGAGTGCGATAATCACGTTGAGCAAAACATGCAGAAGTGAAAAGTGAGAACTAAATAACAGCACAACAAAGGAGCATATAAAAGCATGCATCTCCACCTCAAGAGGCAAAAAACCGAGCAAACACCAGAGCAGCTGCGCAACGCATCGAGGAACACGAGCGAAGGGTTCGAAAGCATCTCCACAGCAATATTCGTCCTCTTCCTCTCCCCGCCGCTCACTCCCCTTATCATCTCATTCCCAATGGGCATATTCCTTGCTTTACTCAAACCCAGCTCCGCAATGATGGACTCCGCCAGCTGCAGGCGCTGCGCCTTGGGCGTGGTGGACGGCAGGACACAAACTCACTCCAATCCCATCGAACACCAGAGAGCACCCAAACTCACCCAAACTCACCAGAGCATCGCAACTCACCCAGGAACACGAGCGAGGGGTTGGACAGCATCTCCACAGCAATGTTGGTGCGCTTGCGCTCGCCACCGCTCACTCCCCTTATCATCTCATTCCCAATGGGCGTATTCCTTGCTTTACTCAAACCCAGCTCCGCAATGATGGACTCCGCCAGCTGCAGGCGCTGCGCCTTGGGCGTGGTGGACGGCAGGCGCAGCATGGCAGCCGTCTGCAGCGTCTCCCAGACGGTGAGCGTGGAGAACATGAGATCGTCCTGCATCACGTACGCTGAAATCCGCCTGAAACTCTCGTCTCTTGGGCGCCCGTTCACCAGCACCTGCCCGGACAGGGAGGTTTTAGCTCCCGATTTCATCACCCGGCCTGCAAGCACGTTCAGCAGACTTGTTTTGCCGGAGCCTGGAGGGGCAGGGAACAAGGGACAAGTACGGGGCAGAGAAGGGGCGGATGAGGGGCCAAGGGAAGACAGAGCAGTGTAGGCGCAGCATGGCGGCGGTGTGCAGCGTCTCCCAGACGGTGAGCGTGGAGAACATGAGATCGTCCTGCATCACGTACGCTGAAATCCGCCTGAAACTCTCGTCTCTTGGGCGCCCGTTCACCAGCACCTGCCCCGCCAGAGAGGTGGGGGCGCCGGCTCGCATCACCCGCCCTGCCAGCACGTTCAGCAGACTCGTTTTCCCAGAGTTTTGAGGCGCCTCAAAAGCACGTTCAGCAGACTCGTTTTCCCAGAGTTTTGAGGCGCCTCAAAAGCACGTTCAGCAGACTCGTTTTCCCAGAGTTTTGAGGCGCCTCAAAAGCACGTTCAGCAGACTCGTTTTCCCAGAGTTTTGAGGCGCCTCAAAAGCACGTTCAGCAGACTCGTTTTCCCAGAGCCTGGAGGGTAGGGAAGGGGGAGACAACGGGCAGATGAGGGGTACTGCCTAAAGCTCTCGTCTCGTCCCTCCCGTGGACGCCCATTCAACAGCACCTGCCATGCCAGAGACGTTTTCGCGCCCGTGCGCGTGGCCCGACCTGCCAACACGACCAGCAGACTTGTTTTCCCGGAGCCTGGTGGGGCAGGGAAGAAGGAGGAGACAAGGCGGGATTATGGGGCAGAGGAAGGGCAGATGAGGGGGACCGCCTGTAGCTCTCGTCCCGTGGACGTCCATTCACCAGCACCTGCCCAGCTACGCGCGTTGGGGCTCCGTGGACGTCCATTCACCAGCACTTGGCCTGCTAGCACATTCCGCAGACTCGTCTTGCCAGGGCCTGGAGGGGGCAGGGAAAAGGGCTTCACAAGCACATGAGGGGTAATGCCTGAAGGCCTCGTCCCGTGCTCGAGACGTCTTGTCGAAGCCTGGGAAGGGGAGGATCAGTGACAAGGGGAGGCGCGAACTGGGGACGGGAGGGGGGAGACGGGACGAATACGTAAGAACGGATACGATGGCAAGAAAACGAGCTGAGGGGAAGGTATCACCCCGAGGGAAAGAGTCGTGAAGAAAGCTTTGAGACGTTTCAATAAAAGGTGCGCGCCTGACCAAAAGGGGTACATGATCGTGCGGGAAGTGCTGGCCTTGACCATCCCGTGAGGTTGGCCCAAATGAGAGCGAAAGGTCAACTGCAAACAGGGAGTGGAATGGTTAACCTGAGGGGCCCATTATGGCGAGGAAGGAGCTGGCTTTGGCGTATCCCGTGAGGTTGATGGCAAAAAGTTACACGACCCGAACGAAACGTAACGAAAGGGGAAAAGGCCGCACCTGAGGGGCCCATAATAGCGAGGAAGGAGCCGACCTTGACGTATCCCGTGAGGTTATCCCGAGGAGGGACCAATCACTAACGAAAAACTAGACGGGAAAGCACACACCTGAGGGGCCCATGATGGCGAGAAAGGAGCCGGCTTTGACGTATCCCGTGAGGTTGTCCAAAATGAGCTTGTTGGTCTTCGCCTTGCCTCGCCCCAGCGTCACGGTGTACGTCACGTTCTTGAAAGCCAACGACACGGGATGGAAGCGAGTTCCTGGCGCTGCCGCCGCCACCTGGATGACAGGAAAGAGAGGGACAGAGAGAGAGAGAATGGGAAGTGATGAGCGTCGCGGAGAAGACTTTAATGATGTACATCACGCGTTTCAAACGCCGGACACACCGGGTGGAACATGCGTTCGGGGCATTAAGGCCACGGCGTCAATAAGCTTAGACAAGAAGAAGATGAACAGAAAGAAATAACACAAAACAAAAAGCCTCCGTCGTTGCTTCATCCAAAAACTACAGGGACAGAAAGGCTGTGTGATATATACTTGAAAAAAAAAAAGAAAACAAGCGACACATGAGTTGCTATGTGAGAAGCAACGCGAGTTTATTCAACGGAGAGAGTGTGAAGGCTCCGTGAGCGTCACCTCAAACATGGACTGCGTTCGCTTATACTCGTTTCCTTCTGGCGGAATAGTGACTCTCTCTTCCGCGTTCAACGGCTCGCCTTGCTCCACGTCGATCGGCGCGCCCTCGCTGCTGCTGTTAGGCACCTCCCCCATGCCGCCTAAGCCCATTGTTCCTTCTACTTGTAAAACGAGGGAAAATATGTAAGCCAAGCGTAACGAGCGGTGAAACGAGCGGTCTCACCAACTTAGTCACTATTTTGAGGTGACACCGGCTTTCACACACCGAAACCGCTAAGGCGATGCCGTCGAAACTACGCAGATGCTTGGTGCTGACACTCTCAAACAAACACTCGCAGGAATAACTAACATTGACACCACAACATCAGTCAGAGCGACTCAGTGAAACCCAGAACAACTCAGGAGACGACCAGCAGCACGAACAACACTATCACCACCACAACAAGCCGCGACAATTTCTAGGGCAGCAATGCCAGGCACAGATGCTAGCGTGCGTTGAAGGTGTGTCATTGGAGCCGAGTGTCGTGCGACACCCTAGTCAACCATTTTTCGTACCACAGTAACCTTTCTCAACCGCAAATGAGTTGACCTTTCGACCAACTGTGCAGACCCGTGGTGACAGTCCCTGTTTACTGTACAGACAGACGGAATGGCTCAAGTTACCAGTCTAAAGCCTTCGCAAGAATGAAAAGCTGCTTAGTTGGGCTTATGCGACATCTCCAAAAGGTAATGGCGAATACCAGCGAGCAACGACAGCCGCCAGAAGGATAAGGTCCACAAGGCTTCATGACGTCAGATACGTGGGTGAGAGGCATGCGATGCGAGCGCATGAGATGGAACACCAGAAAGCGCGCGGAAATGCAGAGCGCAGCCCAGCCTACGTCACCAGTGGAAAATAGAAGCAGTGTTACGAGTGCAATTGAGTGAGCGAACTAGAATTGCACTATCTAAGCAAGAGTACAATGAGCGAAGGCATGAGCGAAGAATATTTAGCGAAGTCTACAGTGGTAATGGACTATGGTTGTCGCGTGACGGGCCTGGGACTGAGGGTTGGGAAAATGTCGAAGCGGAGGCCCGGAGCGCGGGTTACCCGACGAGCCGTGAGGTCGGGGTGCGACATGCGAAGGTGGCGGGAGGATTGTCGATGCGAGGGTTTGCGAGTGGTAACGATGCTGACTGTGGTGCTACAGTGGTGTACGCGCTGAGCGGGGACGCGAAGTAAGGAAAAAGAGATTTTCCTTACACTGCCCCCCCCCCCCCCCCTAAGGAGGTCCTCCTTACGAAAGTGCGTGTACATCCCTGAAGTTTCGGTTGCGCAGATACTCGGTGAGGACGGGGTGGTTTTCGATTATGTCCAGGGGAACCCAGTTGTTCGGTGGGTGTACGTTCTTTCCAGCGGATCAGGAACTCGATCCTTCGGGCTCCTCGAGGGTCGCGACTCGCGAACTCTGTGACTAAGAATCTTCTAGGGGGTGATGATCGGTTCAGTCGACGGTCGTGTCATGCTGGCTACGCGATTACGTGGGAGTTGGCTTGTGGACAAGACGTAGGGCCGAAGCAGGCTGACGTGGAATGAGGGGCTGACGTACTAGTCAGCGGGGAGGAGGAGGTGGGCGGTGACGGGTGTGATCATGTGGCTGATGCGAAATGGTCCACAGTATCGGGGGCGGAGTTTTGGGGTGATGGGCAGGCGGAGGTTCTGGGTGTCAAGTAAAACTAGGTCGTCGGGCTGGTAAGTGACAGGTCTGCGGTGGCGGTCTGCGTTGCGTTTAGCGATGACGTTCGATTTTTTTATTGCGTCTGCTGCCCGGGTCCGTGCTGCTTGTAATATTTCGGCGAACTGTTGTGCTCGTGGCACTGGGTTGTCGGGATTCGGGGTCATGGGTACTGTCGGGTCTTGTCCGTAGTTCAGGTAAAACGGTGACTGTTGGGTCGTGGCGGACGGTGAGTTGTTGTATGCGAATTCAATGAGTGGCAGTTGTTGTTCCCAGGTGGTGGGGTCGTCGCACGTGGCTCGGATGAGTTGCTCCATGGTCTGGTTTGTCCGTTCTGTCTGTCCGTCAGTTTCGGGGTGGTACGAAGAACTGAACTGTAGTCGCGTGCCGAACTGCTGCCACAGGTTCCGCTAGAAGTTGCTGGTGAATTTCATGTCGCGGTCGCTGATGATCGCTGATGGTATCCCGTGCAGTCGAACGACGGTGGAGATGAAGAGGCGTGCTGTTTCTTTGGCTGTGATTGATTTTTTGCAGGCTACGAAATGTGCCATTTTCGTCAGTCGATCGACGACGACCAGGATCACGTCGTTCCCACTCGCCCCGGCCGGTAACCCTGTGACGAAGTCCATCGTCACCTGCTGCCAAGCACGCTCTGGAGGTGGTATCAGCTGCAACTGTCCTGCCGGCCGCTGTCGTGATGATTTCATGAGCTGGCAAGTGGGACACGATGCCACGTGTCGTTGTACGTCGGTCAACATCTCGGGCCAGTAATAATACCGGTGCAGCTGCTGTCGTGTTTTCTCTACCCCGAAATGCTTTGAGGTATCTCCGTCGTGTGCCTCCTGTAACAGTAACTCCCGTAGCAGTGTGTATCCTGGTACCCAGATGCGGTCGGTCCCGGCTTTTACGCAATAGACTCCCTTTGCTGCTGCGAGCTGCTGCGAATTTCCTCCTGTGAAGAATGGGTCCGATTGGTACCCGTGGGTAAATAGGCCTGTCAGTTGTGAGAGTACGACGGCTTATGCCAGCTATGCTTGCTTGCCTTCACTTTATCATGATATTTCTAGCATAGGATAATTATATGCATACATGAATTGCTTGATTTCCTATGCTAGGTGCTTTCCTATATTTTATTATAGTTATAGCACCGAGCTAGGTTGCGTGCACCGAATTATGGCTTTTCGGTTGCCAACGAATTGCCTTCTACCAAATTCGAGAAGGATCTGTTCGGGACGCTTCGCGACCCGCGGAACCTTCGCGTAACACCTGGTTACGGGGCCTTGTGTCGAGCCTATACATACCCTCGTGTTGTACCCATGTGATCATTCGATTCAATTCAAACTCTCTTTTCTGAGCTCGATCCTAGATCCTCACATCAGTAGTGGATTTGTTTGGGCGAGTAGTATTGCGTGGATCTGGGCAGTACGGCGGGTCAGGGCGTCAGCGATGTTCGATGCCCCCTTTTTGTAGGTGATTGTGTAGTGGAAATTCGACTCGAGGAAATCGAGCCAGCGGATCTGTCGTGGGTTGAGGTGTGGCTGTGCGCGGAGGTACTGTAGTGATTTATGGTCTGTCCGTACTGTCACGTCTGCACCGGTCAAGTAACAGCGCCATACTTTGAATGCGTGCACGATCACAAGCATTTCGCGGTCGTGTATTGGGTATTTTTTTTTCGGGCGGATGCAGATTTCGTGACTCGTATGCAATGGGCTGTAGGCCGTTGTCGAAGTCCTGTAGCAGTACAGCTCCGATGGCGATGTCGCTTGCGTCGGTAACTACTTCGAATGGGCGGTGTGAGTCGGCGATGCGCAGGACGGGCGGTGAACAGAAAACATTTTTCAGGGCAGAGAAGGCAGCATGCTCTTTCTCCCCCCACGTAAAAGTGACCCCCTTCCATGACAAGTCCGTCAGCGGCGCTGTTAACCGTGCCATGTCGGGGATGAACCGACGCACGTAATTGACGAACCCCAAAAAGCTTTGTAGTTTTGTGATATTCGTCCGGGGGTGCCAGAATTTCACTGTGTCCAACTTCTTTGGGTCAATTTCGATCCCAGCCTCAGAAATAACGTGCCCCAAAAACTCTAGCCCGTCCTGAAAAAAATCGCACTTAGAACCCTTTGTCAGTAGCCGATGCTCGTCTAAATTTTGAAAGACTGCTTCCAGATCTTCGATGTGCTGCTGCTTGTCGCGACTGTAGACGAGGATGTCGTCGAGGTAAACTATCACGCATTTAACTAAAAGTGGCCTAAACGCCTCGTCCATTGTCATATGAAATGTCGCTGGTGCGTTGGTCAGCCCGAAGGGCATCACGATGTACTCGAACGACCTGTACGTAGTCCGGAAAGCTGTTTTGGCGCAGTCCGATGGTTCAACCCTAATCTGATGGTAACCTCCCCGTATGTCTATTTTCGAAAAAACCCGTGCTGGTCGCAGTTGGTCGATCAGTTCGTCGGCGCGAAGAACGGGGCACCGCGACTTGACTATTACCCTGTTGAGCGCTCGGTAATTGATACACATGCGAAACCCTCCTTTTTTTGGCGTGAACAGTATCGGTGCGGCGAACGATGACAAGCTCGGTCGGATCAATTTCTTCTCTAACAGGTAATCTAACAGCTTCCTTAGTTCGTCGTGTCAAACTTATATCATATAGCTTGTCTAGGCTATAGTGGGGTGGACACTATGGGGTACAGTTTCCTAGGGTTTCCTACTTGTACCCAACCTTGTGCTAGTTCATTCATTCCTCGTTCTTTCACATGGTATAGAGCAGGTTCCCCAGTGGGAACGCTTCCTTGGGCCCACCACTGATTTTTTTTTTTTCTGACCGGAGCGCCAGTCGCTCCTGCCCGAGGCGCGCCTTGTGGGCCGCCCTTCCGTCAAGGTCCCTAAGAGGCCCCTCCCACGGCCCCCCGTGCCGCCCCTCGCGGCCCCTAGCGGCCCCGTCGCCGCCCCTACGCGGCCTCGTCGCCGCCCCTAGCGGCCTCGTCGCCGCCCCTAGCGGCCCCGTCGCCGCCTCTCTCCCTACGCGGCTCCGACGCCGCCCCTAGCGGCCCCGTCGCCGCCCCTACGCGGCCCCGTCGCCGCCCCTAGCGGCCCCGTCGCCGCCTCCCTACCTACGCGGCCCTGTCGCCGCCCCTACGCGGCCCCGTCGCTGCCCCTACGCGGCCCCGTCGCCGCCCCTAGCGGCCCCGTCGCCGCCTCCCTACCTACGCGGCCCCGTCGCCACCCCTAGCGGCCCCGTCGCCGCTCCCGTCCCTACGCGGCCCCGTCGCCGCCCCTAGCGGCACCATCGCCGCCCCTGCTGGCCCCGTCGTCGCCTCTACTGGCCCCTTCACCACTGAGCCGCCCAGCAGCTGAGCAGCCGAGCCGCCCAGCAGCTGAGCAGCCGAGCCGCCCAGCAGCTGAGCCGCCCAACAGCCGAGCCGCCGAGCCGCCGAG